CTACTTTCCAATAAATTATTTATAGATTTTCTCTTTCTTAAGACTTCTTAAAGAATTATGCTTGATACTTTTAATCACAATAGTATCTTATTAAGCATATATATTTCGGGCGTCCACTGCTACCTTATCCTTAGTAGTAGTACCTTAGTCTTCACTGGTGGTTTTATCACATTTCATAGTATCCACTAAGTTTTAAAGAATGTCTTAAAGGCTCATGCAATCTAATTCATGTATTTAAAAAACATGAATTAACAGATAACAAGTCTAAATAATCTGACCTCACGGGTAGAGTCATAATTTCCAAATAGACTTATTCATCCTCACCATGCATGCTACTTCAGCCTTTGCATCATCATTTTTAATCAGCATGATCCCAAAATCCATCGTGACAATCTCTTCATCTTAACCATCATCTCTTTTGAATCTTCTGAAGTCAAATGAAGAATATACATGGTTAATCACGAAATTAATTTACTAACAATAATTTGATAGTGATAAGATCCATATCTTTAGGATTTTGGTTTCTTATCTTCAAGAGATTGTGGAAATCAAATCGAAATTAACAACTATTCAGTGGAAATCAAATCGAAATTAACAACTATTCAGTTTGATGAATCTTCTCGTTCAACATCATCATCTTCATGATTCTCCAAAATTGCAACCGTTCTGTTGTGTTTATAAATTTCTCAAAAGAAATTATTAGTACGACAAGAGAGTTGACATTTATTTTCAACTTACTATTCAAAACTGAATAATCTTACCCCCACATGGAAATAAATAGTTACTCATCTTCACATGAACCAAATATCATACATGCATTATCTCTCATACCGAAATATTAATGTTCATAACATTGTAGTCTTGTCACATTTGATTATAGCATGCAAGTTTCAAAATTGAACGTTTAAAAAAATACTAACATTTATATAGCTATTTAATAAATCGTTCAACCTACTATTGAAACTTGAAACATTTAGATCATATAATGGCTATAATCAACATTCATGTATAAAATTAAATGTCATGAAACTGCCAACGGTAAATGTTTTCACGTAAATTTCATGTAAACTTTTAATACACAACTTTATTGCATTTAAATTGAATTAATCATGCATAACCTTAATTCATGTTTAAATGTTTCTATGCATTAATCATTTAATGTTATAATACACAACATTTTATAACATTTCTTGATGCACATTAATTTAAATGTTTCTCTCATCATTTTATTTTAATAAAGCATAAAACAAATCACTGTTCTTCATGTCATTTTCAATTCATGCATTATTCCACATTGAAAGCCCATAAATGCAAGAATTATAATCATTTCTAGATGTTTGATTAATTTTTGTAACATCATAATTAGTGTGCAATTAGTGCTCTAAAAAGTGTTACAAGATGAAGTCATCTTCCACCTTTAAGCAATCATATCAATGCTTATAAAACATTAAAGTTCTTATTGCTTTAAAAAGTGTTACAATAATGCTTGTAACACAATATTAAAGCTACCATATAATAATAATAATTCAATTCACCATTGAATTCTTTCCCTTCTAAAACAGTCAGTTATCAAAAATCTATTAAACTTTCCACTATTAATGCTTGCCGACTAATTAGAGCATTTATAAACATAAAGCATTTACATTGAAGTTCTTATAGTGGCAGTTGCTGACTGTTAATAAGCCATTTCATCGTATTAAATGTAAATAAACATTTACACTTGTCAAAGCAAACCAATTCTTAGTTGTACGATTGTAATTTACCATGAGAATAATATTCTGTATAAAAATATTACGTACCTCTTTGATGCAAGGTTGAACCAACATTTGAATTCAGACTTACACATTAGAATCCAACATGTGGTTTCATCGTTTCTTTTACAAATATCTTGTAGCAGTTCGAATTTGCTTCTAAATTGTTAGTAAAATAGACTACTGGAAAACGAGGCGTTAGTACTTACTGTTAAATATTAAATAAAATAATCAATCAGAATGATAACCGTGTCGTGGTAATCCACTGCCTTAGAAGCAAATTCGCCCCGATGTGTGTAATCGCTACAATGGACGAACACCCCCCTGAGGTTAACACGGCTCTCCAAGAATTCGTATACTTGAAAACTGGAGTGAACTTGGTGGTATTGCTCTTCTCTCAACTCAAACAACACTCAAAAGAGAGGAGTGTTTCAAAGCAAATGTTTGCTTGGGATATATCAAAATGAATGAAATTGCTCACTATTTATAGGCTAAATAGTGAGGGCAAAATCGTCATTTCTAATACTAGTGGGATAACCTAATTTAACATATTTCTAATACTAGTGGATAACCTAATTTGAGTATTATCAACACCCTTCATCTCATCTACGTAATTCCTTCTAATGGGTTTTGATTGATGTTTATGCTTGTTTAAAACCGGTTGCAGACAAGATGTAAAAGGGTCATACGACTGATACGCCTGCAAGACTGGTGATGGTAGCACTTGCGCATGGGTTAGCATTGTTTGCTGCTGTGGCATCCAGTATGAATGTATCAGGTGGTCATGTGAATCCCGCCGTCACCTTCGGAGCCTTGCTCGGAGGAAGGATATCTGTCATCCGTGCACTTTACTACTGGGTTGCTTAGCTCTTGGGTGCTATCGTGGCTTGTCTCTTGCTCCGACTCACCGCCGGAATGTTATATATATAGCCATTCATGCATGCATCCGACAAAGTATAGATTCTCGGATGGATCGTATTCACCGTCGCTCTTTAAAAAGTTTTAAATTTTTATATAAAAATTTAAGATATTTTCTTTATTTTTTATTAATAATATCTTTTCACTAAGATAAAATATTAAATTAGTGCCTTTAAATTTTTTTTATCAAAATTATCCATTTCGAGTATTATTCTTAGACTAGATCAACTACTATGGTACCTTCGGAATATTCCAAGAGTGCAAGGAGTCTTCAGTTGAAGACTCTAAGACTAGACTACTATACGTTTTTAACCTTCAGAAGATTCCATTGCACTTCAGTTGAAGACTCCAAGACTAGACTACTATACGTCTTTAACCTTCGAAAGATTCCAAGAGTGCAAGGAGTTTTCAGTTCTTGACTCCAAGACTAGACTTCTATATGTCTTTCACCTTGAAAAAACAGCTTTATAATCTACATGAGCAAGGAAGCCGTTTTAATCTCTTAATATTTTATAAATTAATCCTTAATTTACATATTTAGTCACCACTTATTTTCACAGTTTCGATTTGGTCATTAATTTTTTTCTAACGATATGTTTTGATTTCATTTTGATTTCACAATTTTAAAAAATAAATAGAATTGTTGATATAGTAATTTTTTTACTTTTTTATAACGATGATATGTCAATATTATCTTTAATGACATATCATCTTTAATTTTTTAACAGTAAGTAATCAAAATATAATTAAAATGAAATATTAAATATGATCTAAAAAATAGTTCCATCATTAAAATAGAATCACGAGTGATTAAAATAGAACCACGAGAACATATTAATAACTAAATACGTAGTTTATTTAATATTGCAGTTCATCATTTTAACATAAAATCTAACATTTGTCCAACGCGAGTCCTCGTATGTATATGACCTATGTGATCAAGTAACAAATTCACACAATTGCATTGCTTTTGGTTTTAGCGACCGGCGGGGTTCATGGTGGCGTACGGAATTGGAGAGCTGCGTTGCATGATACTAGAGATAGTGATGACATTCGGATTGGTGTACACAGTTTTCGGAGCAGCGGTTGATCCGAAGACAGGGAGCATGGGGACAATAGCACCGTTGGCTATAGGGCTAATAGTGGCGGCCAACATCTTAGTAGGCGGGCCATTAGACGGAGGAGCCATGAATCCGGCCAGGGCATTTGGTCCGGCCTTGGTGGCTTGGAGGTGGAACAATCACAGGATCTATTGGGTTGGTCCATTGATAGGTGGTGGTTTAGGCGGTCTCGTGTACGAGTACATGATCATCCCGGCTATCGAGCCTGCGCATCAAACGCACCAGCCCTTGGCTCCGGAAGATTACTAATCAATGTTTGTAGTTGTACCTGTAACTAGCTACTTAATTTGGTCCTTATGGATCCGTGAATGTCTGTTCTTTGTTTTCTTTTTCTTCTTGAGTTTTTATTTTTTTTATTTTTTGTACGCAGTGTAATGACAGTAATAAAAAAGGTGCAGTAAGTAGAGAACGTTTCCTTGTACTCCACTAGTACCTTTAATGCTTCGCCGTTTACACTAGGCTGTGACTTGACTCAAAAACTTAAGTTTAAAGTTAGCTCAACTTAAATTTGAAAATTTTGTACTCAAAATATTTACTTCAATCAAACTTAGTCTGAGTTTGATTCAAGTTTTAAGTTCGTTTTTTATTCAATTTTGGAAACTTAAATTTTAAGTACATAAAATTTTTATATTGCATTTTAAAAAAAAAGCAACGTAAGGCGCATTGTATTAAAAAACAATAACATATAAATATTAATATTATTAATAATATAATTTAAAACAAATATTTTTTTCAATTATTCACGAATTATTTATTATTAATAATTTAATTTAAAATACTTTTTGAAATAAATTTTTTCCAATTATTCACGAGTTTCTAATGTTAGTTAAGGACCATAGTCAAATTCGAGTCGAAATTTTGATCAATCAATTTTGTCACAATTACAAAAACAATATGATAAAAAAAAGTTATAATGTATACATGAATACATGGGCATGGACAGAACATTAGCTCTTCAGCAATCCGTCAATTTAGGTGCTTGAAGAATGCCTTGATACTTTACAACACATTTTATTTGTGGGGGAGAAAAAATGAAGCAAATAAGAAAAAGCAAAGCTATAAGAGCATGGATGGACCTCAGCTACTACAAAAACAATAACAATTGAAGAAGTTCACCTTCAAGTTCAGCATATCTAATATGAGTCTCTTATATTTTGCGGCTGAACCGTCCCTTTAATTCATCTCTGCATCTCTAAATGAGTATCCATTTTTATCTTTCATCAGGGTTTACCTGGTTGATACCAATGTGGCTCAACTGTACATTCTCGTTCCAGGAGGGGTCACCTGGAGGCAGCTGATATTCATCGGGTTTCAATGCTATAGCAAAATCCGGCAACGTTGGAGCCGTCTCCATGATTCTGAATAACAATACCAACACCGAGGTTATTGTATTTTGTTTATTAAGTAAAATAATTGCTGTCAAATGTGTAATAAGAAACCCTACACTTATCATAAGAGTAGAGGTCACGGTTTATCCGCACCATGCTAGAAGTGTCTTTCGGAATTTTCTCAAATAGATGCTTCATGGTTCCCCAAAGAGGTGGGTTTCTGCACCAACCATCAAGATACCTTTAGCAAATAAACTACAAGCTAGTATAATCTGCTGCTAGTAGAAACATAATGTGCTGTCGGGAAAACTCGACTTACTAGAAGAAAAGGCAAGGTTTGCAAGTACAAAGCAAAAATAGAGTTCTGGTCCAAACGAATCGAGTATATATGAAACATGAAAATCATGTTGGCATACATCAGTTCACCACACTAGTCTCACATATGTAGCAAAATCTTATTATCTGACAACACCATCATGCTTTCAATTAATGCTTCAATACATTTTCAACACAAACCCAGATTCTAAGCACTAGGCAACCCAGTTCAGCCAAATCAGAAGGTCTAAGACAGAGTTCTACTAAAAAATGCCCAGGGAAAAAAATTAGACTTGAAATCTAGATGAAGTACATTAAAGCGCAACTTGAAATCAATGACGACAGGCTACCCCAAGGTTCTCGGATCAGATAAATCATAAATCTCAGTTACGTAATAAATTATAATGAAATTAGATGGGAGATATTTGTCTCTGAGTGCAACTATAAATGAGTATAAATAATGAAAAATATAAGAGTTTATTACAAGGCATTGACTAATTTAAAAAAAAAATAAAGACTAAAATACCAAGAAGGCCATTAAACTATTTCATTTTTCTCAAATAAGTCATTATTGGACTTACATACACCCTTATCATTTAATGTGTACCAAAAATAACCTTGATCCATTGATTTGTATCCAAATAAGCCCATATTGCAAATGAACTTTTGATTATTTTAAGGGGTTTTTTCAGGTACAAACTAAAGATTAAAAGATTATTCGAGTTTAATAAAATTATAGGAACTTATCTAGATATCAGTGTAAAGTCATAATCCAGTAAGACTACTGAAACCTATCAACGTTTGATTCATTAACATAATTCTAGTCAACTAAAGACATTTACTAGTTCTACCAATCTTGGGAAAAGTAAGAATTACCAAGGCCATATCTTTCGGCTAGGGATGGCAATTTGACCCCAATCCGACGGGTTCCCACCTGATAGGGTCATGTTTTAAAAAGAAAAAAAGAAATAAATTCGGGTTGGGTTTGGATTTAGGGTAAAAAACTCCGACCCAGGGTAATAGAATAATATTCTTCTATATATTTAGAGATAATTGCTATAATACAGTTCTATATTTTTTTTCAATTAGGTCCTACTTTCTCCCTTAGAGAGAATTTTCACCAGAAAATTTCATTGGCACCATCAACACCTCCAGAGAATGAGATTTTCAGGTTAAACTTTAAAGTGACGAAAAGTTTGCCAGAAGTACCAATCTGAAGCACAGAGCAATCTAGCTGTACAGGGTGCTGGTGCCCCCATGGCATGATCTGGCTGCCTGAAACAAGATTTGGCCGGCCAATAAAATGAAAAAACAAAAATGGAGAAAAGATTTCTTAAAGAAAAATCAGCAATAAAATGCAATTATATGAAATATTATTATGGAATTAATTATGAGTAAATCAGAAATTATTATTGATTTTATGCAAGGCTAAATAATTGATCTTTTACATTCACTAATACCCTATTTGTTGAACTAACCAAACATAATTTATTAATATAATATTCCCATATCTCTTTCCAATGAACCAAAATTTATATAATAACTATTCTACTCCACTAACCATTCTATTATGTGAACCGAGTATGTGGCCACTGGGTAAATGTCATACCACAAAAGGCCAATTGGCCACCCAAAAGCTAAAGGGTGAATGGAAGCAAAAATGTAAATCCAGAAATGATTCAATATAACTTACCTGGATAAAGGATGAGCTGCATTAAACGCCTCACAAGCCCCCTTACTGTAACACCCCAATTTATGGGCTAAATTTTAGAAATTATAAAGTGGTGAATTTAATTGGTATTTTGGAAGAAATTGAGGATTAAATTGTAAAATTTCAAAGCTTACAAACCATTTTAAGAAATACAGGAAATTCAGTGACTAAACTCATGGTTTACCCATTTTTTATGGGATGAATTATAAACCCCTTCCTCGATTGTTTCTGCATATTCTTCCGAGTTTCTCTCTCCCGTCAACCCCTCTTTGAACTTCGATCTAATCACCGTCTGACTTCCGATCGACGAACCAAAACCACCGATCGACGAACCAAAACCACTATCGTGTTCGTTGTCGACCGATGAACAAAACCCCTCAAACATTTCGTTGTGAATCGTCGTCGTTCATCATTAATTTCAGTCGGAAGTATCGTCGATATTAACTCGATTTCAGTTGGTTTTTCGTCGATTCACGACGATCCGACCATCCGTTTTCAACACCTCCCATACCATCGTGTTTCTTGCATCGTTCCGAGTCCGCCAGTGTCCTCCGTTTCTCCGTCGTCGCCGGCGCGTAGAGGGGTGAGAAAGTCAAAGTTTTCGATGTTTCGGAATCGAGCTCTCCGCCATTCAAAATTGTGAACCGAGCTCGATAAGTGTCTCAAAATGCCTTAAAATAATTATTAGGAATTTTTTCAGGAATTTTTCGACACTGTATCACTGTTCATGCGCCACCACTGAGCGTAGCGGGTGTTAATTTTGTAATTAATTTCTGTTAGGGTGATATTTGTGTAAAATTCGGGTGTTAGTTTTGTAAATATTTGTAGAAAGTGGCTAATTTTGTAATTAATTTATGTAAGGGTGATATTTGTGTAAAACAATCGACTGTTGACCGTTGACCGATGTTGACCACTGTTGACCAGAACATTGACCGGCATTGACTGGTGTTGAACGACCTTTGACTTTGATCGGGTATACCTATCCTGATGTTTTCAGTCCAATTCCGCAGTCCGTTTTTCAAAATTCGGACCCGAAGGCCTCGAAATTGCCAGTCAAACCCATTGACTTTGACCGAAAAGTTAAAATGTTCGAAAAGTCATATTTTATGTTTTCGACGTTTTGAATCTACTTTTGGGGTCCGTTTCGCCAAACTCGAACCCAGTAAGTTGTTTTTGACTGATTTATCACCCGATTCGATCTGTTTTTCGGAATTAAGCTTTGTTTTTGATGTAATTTCTGTTGATATGGATCCGAGGAAATATTGGAAGTTGAATTAAAGATCAAAGGCGTTTGAATATAATTTATATGGTCGATCAGTATGGCACGGAAATCGAGGTAATACTTTACGACCTCTTTATGCTTTATGGAACATGTGAATATTGGTAAATGCATGATTAAGATAATGTTGGTGTCATTTATGTAGTTAATTAATTTCTACACTCGATCTGAATACGGTAAAAAGGTTCAGTAATTGATTATGGTTCAGATGACTTTTATAAGAAATTGAGGGATTATTAGAATTAAATTACAAGTTCTGTGCTCAGTGATAAAGAAATCAACATGGATCTATAACTTATAATTTATTTCATCAAAGTTTAAACGTTAAAGGTACTTGGATGAGAAATTATGAGAATTCTCTAGTAGGGTAAAATTACGAAAACACCCTTATGTTATAAAAAGACAAGAATTGACTATGGAAGTTGGATAAGAGGTTTTAAAGACATATTGATATGATGAAACTACTGATGTGCATAAGAAATGTTAGTTTTGCTTAGAAAATATAGATAACCGATTTTTAACCCAAGAGAATTTGAGCAAGAATCTAAGAGTCTGTTAAGGGAATCATTTCAAGATCAGAGAATGTTCGGGAAATCAATTAATCATAGGATCTCTAAATTATATTATTTGGTTAAGAGTTAATACCGAAATTATCTGGAGAAATTATGAAAATGCCCTTGAGAGGTAAAATAGTCTGAGTTGACCCTGAATAAAAAAGTACTTTGAGGATTCGTACTTAACTCGATTAAGTATGTATTTAATTTTTAAGATTCTGTCTTTGTACAGAAAAATTCATGATATTTCGTTTGTAAAATATGAGAAGGCACTTAACCCTAAAATATCCGAGTTATGAGTAAAAACCTGAAGAACAATTTATCGAGGGTGTTCTTTTGACAGAACTGTTCAAAATGACTGAAATAAGTGATAAGTTTGAATTCAATAATAAGATCGGACGTAAGGAAATGATTGTAATACACTGGATCTGTAAAATGACCAGAATACCCTTAGAATGCAAATGACCAAGAATATCACCAAGCTCAGGAATGATTGGATATCCTCGAGCTCTGAAATGAATGGAATATAACTGAGCACCAAAATGACCAAAATACCCTTATGACCTAGAATAAGTAAATGTCTTGGACTAATTTAGAAATCCAAATAAACACGAATGTTGTACTGCTCTTAAAAGTTATAGAACACATCTTAAGTGGTCAACCAATGCTAGTGCTATATCATTATCTGAATGATATAAGTATCACTTGAATGTTGGTTCGTCTTATTAAGTTTGGATTGATGATAATTTTGGAAGTAACCAGCTCAGCTCAACTTTGGATCGCATTCGGTACTCAGAAGTGGATATTCGTTAGACAAATCAATCAAGAAGACCAAATTAAACTAAACGGAAGTACAATACTTATCCAAAATTTATAAACGTCCGAATTACTCTGAAAAACTCTGAAGTAACTGGGATACACTTGACTACTAAATAAATTAAGTAACATCAAGGAATGAGGATTAAATAAGTGATTTGAATGGGTATGGAAACGTTAATGAACATACATGATGTAATGTTCTTATGGGACATGTACTACCAATCAAGCACGTCAGCATTTCATGATATCGTGGAAGCGTGGAAATGAAATAAAGAGCATTGAAATATATTTTAGTTTCCTTAAGATCTATTCAGCGATGATTCCGAAGATAATCTATGGATAAGAATTTTTGGTGTTAAAAAGTAAATACCCTGGAAGGATAATGTATTTACCAATCGATGAGCATTAATTCTGAGAGATATTCATCTAGAGTTGTTTGATAATGAAATCAATCGACATATACTGTAAATATCTTGAAACTTCATTTCTTCCCTATCAGCTCAAGTTTCATTTTTGAATAATTGATGATTCCATCAGTTATTGATATCTTCCAATAGTAATTCTAAATTCCAACATTCTATTGACATACTGAAGATCTGTGTTTTTCTGCTTGATAAGATTTTCCAGTACCTCTGAATAATATCTGTAAACTCTGGTGTGCTCCCTAATCATATAAATATTTTATATGATTTTCGACTTGAATTCTGTTCTGATAAATTACCTGAATTCTGTTCTGATATCCGATCTGGATTCTGTTATGATATCTGATCTAAATTTTGTTTTGATTTCTGATATCTCTGTTTACCGACGCAGGAATGTTTTATCTGGGTGGTTTATTGTTGGAGGAAGATTATCTGCAGACTCATCGGCTTTGTGCTCAGGGTCTAAATGGCATGTGCAGTTGGGTGTATGGTTTTGGGGAACCTATACATTTATGATGTGAACGGATGTGAGTAATGTTCATGTTTTAAATATATATATATATATATATATGTTTTAAAAGATCTGTATCTTTTTTACTGGTTTTACGGGAACACACTAGATAACCTATTCTGATCTCCTGAACCTATATATCTGAAATATTTCCATCTGAATTGAATATTATCTGTTACTACCTGAAATATCAATTAGACCTCAGCCTAGCCAAAGAAAATCTGTAAATATCTGAACCAATAAGGAAAAATACGTTTATTTGTATCTGCACGTTCTTCAGCATCATCTAGTAGTTATGTATTACTGAGATTTCTGAAGCTCACTCTATTACTCACCATTGCAGGTTAAAAGAATTGTACCAGTGCAGCTATCGACTTCAGTAAAGGAGTTCTTTCGGCTTTGTTTGTAGAGTATGGTACATGTGATTAGGGGGCATGTAATTGTATTTTGTTTTATATTTGAGTCTGAAAATCTGTTTAATTTCTTCATACTGATTAATGATTTTATGAGTTTACATGTTTTGATAAAAAGTTTTAAATTTTCCGCTATTTTTACAGTGGGTCGCTCCGGTGGCCCTAATGTGACACCCCATATCGGATCGGGTTATATGTATCAGTCTGAGGGGGTTACACTTACTTTCTTTGAAATATTCATCAGCGGCTTGGAGAGCAGCTACAACCATACCATGAGATTTCACTATTTTTCCCTCATCAAGGATCAAACCATGATAATAATATGCTGCAGACAGTATTTGCATAAATCAACAAGTGTAATTAAATAACTACCATCAACCTCAACCTCAAGATAGTAAGAATTACAAGGATTGTATAGTAGCAAAAGAAACATATTGACTAACAAGTTGATTTCATATAGCAGTGTCAGCTCAAACCTACAAAAGTAGAAGCAAACAAAGGAGAGGCTTTACAAGTATAATCCATCTATTTCTCCTTGACTGGATAAAATCTTTTTTTCCGGAATGTGATTCCCCCGTTTGGATTGCAAGGATTCCCAACCCCCGGTAATAAGTCATTCCTAATAGTGGTATTTTGGGGGCTTATTACCGGGAATGTGATTCCCCCCAATCCCTTAGGTATTGTTACATTCTCGGCATTTTGGACTAAAATGCCCTTAACATATTTTTTTCAAAAATATCATTCTTCTGTCGTTGAATAAAAAAAATTCTACGAAGGTTAAATTGCAAATTTATCCTTAAATTATTTTAGATTTATAAAAAAATCCATAATTAGAATTTTATATGAATTTCAGGGGTTAAAATAAAATTAAACCCTTTCATTAAACCTATTTATCTTTTAAATTTTGTGAAAAATTATATAAATTTTATGAATTTAAAATTTTTAAATAAAATATATAAATTAAAAATAGTAAAATTATATAATTTTCTATGATCTTTTATACAAATATTTTCATTTGAATATTTACAATTCAACTTGTTAAAAAGACATATATATAATAAGAACAATTCAGTAAAATATACATTCCAATAATCTTTTATTCCTTTAACCAAACACTGTAATCTTACATTCCTGCTAAACGAACCAAACACAACATTCTCAATAATGTGTTTGGTAATATTACATTCTGGTAATCCTATTCCCGAAGGTAATGCTACATTCCATGAACCAAACGCACCCTAATAATAATATACATCACTCTAGGAGGGAAACAGTTACCCACGCAGTGTTCATAAACGTGTCAACTGACCAATGAGGGACAAAGCGGTAAATCCACGACACACCCCTATTATTACCATATCTTTTTCTCCCACTTTAAATACTTAACGTCTTACTCAACCAATCAGGGAAAAACTGAAAACAGAAGTAAAAAATGGCGAGAGTTTCGATCACGGTGATAAACCTGCAATGTTTGTTGGTGCTCTACCGGGCAATCGAATCACTGCAGTACGAGGTGGTACACATTGAATCCGATTTCGAAATCAGACACTACCGAGGCGCCACGTCAACGACCTCTCCTTCCAAAGAGCCACCTTATTTGGGTTCCACAGGTGCTCAACTAATTTTACAATTGTATTCTTAGTATCTGTAGATACTAATTTTCGTCCAATCTCATTTATATTTTATATTTTATTATTATAATAAGGGTACATATATTTATGCTATATTTTTTCTTTGTTTACGTACCCAATACCAAACACCCCGAGGCCCATTACAGCTGTAGCCCCCTAGACCCGATCTGTAAGTTAGACCCAAACCTAAGTGGTCACATATCCCATTCAGAGGTTTTTTTTATCTTACAATACATTATATTAATACAAACCAAAATTTTAATAATACAGATATATCCAAAACGATAGCAAATACATGTCACCGGATACAACTGAAAACATATAGAGATATATGTTCGTACAAAATAAGTAGTTGATCTCCCTTGATGCCAAATCTGCTAGCTTACGGTCTGCTGTTATCTGAAAAAGATAAAAACTACAGAATGAGCTAAAAAGCTCAGTGTGCTCCATACAGTGTATAAAAAACATATTAACAAAATATTTTAATAAAATTTGTTTATGAAATATGTTTTGAAAACATGAACACTACCCCCATCCTTTCACAATCTGTTTGTGTAGGTTCCCCAGAACCATACACCCTGCACAACCAGTAAGGCCCTGAGCACACAGCCGAGGAGCCTGCAGATAATCTTCCTCCAATAATATTCCCCCCAATGATAGTAATGAACATGAATGTATGCGCGTAAAACAATGGATAATTCTTTAAAAACATAAGAATGTTTCAAGCTTGAAAACCATAAACAGAAATACATAAATCAAAAATCAAACCAATAATGTATAGTAATTCAGATATTGGGTAATCAGTATTTAGAAAACGGTATAAAATACCGTAACTAGAAATCATATCAGAAATATACAGTAAATCAGAAATCAGATACACAGTATTCAGATATTTATATACTTTAAAACAATAATATAACACTATCAGGAAACACACCTATAACAGGCTGAGAAATCAGATAGGGAAGCCTATTACTGGTTTTGTCGATCACGCTTTGCTGCAGCACTAGATCTTACGAATTGGAAAAATCCTTATTGGAAACCTAATATAAATAATCTAAATATTATTTAAATAATATACGGAAACCTACGGGTAATTCTCGTAGTACGCGGTTCAGGCTGATCTATTGAACGGACAACACCGAACCTAAATGATCCTTGCTCAGGTGAAACACGAGTACTTCCATAAAATATTTTTATTGAATCAATTCCTTAACCAAATCTCAATTAAATAATCAAAATATTAAAATATTAAGCCTTTTGGGTTTACAAGCTCGATTCGGGAATTTCGGGTAAGAATTTGGCAAAACAGACTTTGGAATCAGATTTAGGATGTCGAAAAACATAAAGTATGACTTTCCTAAAATTTGAATTCTTGGTCAAAATCAAAGTCAACGGGTTTAACTAACGATTCAGAGACTTTCGGTTTTGAATTTTGTGAAACCGACCCCAAAAACGGATTCGGGACGTCGAAAAATGTCAGGATAGATATTCTCAGAAAAGATTAACGGTTGTTTAATGAAGTTATGGTCAAAGGAGGTCAACAAACTGTCAACCATTTTACAAAAATAGCACCCTTTTTAAAATAATTACTAAAATAGCACCTTTTTCGAATTAAATTCTCAAAATGGCACCTTTTTCAAATTAAATTCCCAATATAGCACTTTTTCAATTAAATTCCCAAAATATCACCTTTTCAAATTAATTTCTCAAAATAGCACCCATTTCGAATTAATTCCTAAAATGTCACCCGATCAACGGTCAACGGGTCGGGTCGGTCAACGTGTCGGGTCGGAACCGGTTAAACTGGTCATTTCGACCTTCCCCACGCGTAGTGGCAGCGCGTAAGGTGTCTTCTGGCTGCGTAACATTCACGGAAAATTTTCTAAAAATTATTTTGAGCGATTTCGAGATACTTACAAAGATCGGAACAAATTTTTGAACGGCGGAGAGCTCGATTTCATCAAATCGGAAACTTTGACCGCTTCACATCCCCACTTGCCGCCGTCGACGGAGACCGAGGATATCACCGGTGGACTCGGAACGGCACAAGGAACACGATGGTGCAGGAGGTGTCGTAAATGGAGCAACGATCGACGATGAATTTAAGATTTTCTCGGCGATTGAGCTAAAAAAAACGTCGAGACTTTTACTTAAAATTCACGACGTTTGGCTGCGTTTCGCTTCAATTAATTTGAAGGGTTTGTACCTTGCTCGATGATGAACACGATGGTGGTTTCAAAACGACGATCGAAAGTCAAACGGCGTCGGAATCGAGGTTGGAAGTTGAGATTTGTGGGGGTAAAAACTTAGCAAATTGTTCTGGTATGAAACCAAAATCAATTTGCACGCATATAAGAAAAAAAATCTGTCGACACTCCTTGGAAATATTCAGTGATTGGTCACTGAAATTCCTCCACTTTTTAAAATAGGCTACAAGTTTTAAAAACTTCCAATTAAATCCTCAAATTTCACCAATTAACTTAATTAAAACCTCAAATTACAATTATATATTTTTTCCATTTTCCGGGTTGTTACAATTCTCCCCCTCTACAAGAAATTTCGTTCTCGAAATTTGCCTTATGAAAATGGATGCGGAAATTGAACCTCTATTGACTCCAATGTCTCCCAAGTAGCTTCTGAGGGACTACGATTACTCCATTGAACTTTGACCATTGGAATACGCCTATTCCGAAGAACTCGTTCCTCCATCTCTAAAACCTGAACAGGCTCCTCCTCATATGACAAATCAGGTCTCAACTCTACCTCGTCAACCTGAATGATGTGATCCTGGTCTGGACGATATCGCCTCAACATAGACACATGAAAAACATCATGAATACGACTGAGCTAGGGAGGCAACTCAAGCTGATAAGCAACAGGTCCAACTTTCTTCAAAATACGATACGACCCAATAAATCGCGGACTCAATTTACCCTTACGTCCAAATCTCAATACCTTCTTCCATGGAGATACCTTGAGAAAAACCTGATCTCTAACCTCAAACTCGATATCCTTACGTCAGTTATCTGCGTATGATTTCTGCCTATCAAATGTCTCTTTTAAGCGATCACGGATCAATCTGACAGTATCTTCAATCTCTCGAATCAAGTCTGGACCCAAAGTTTTTCTATCATGCAACTCTGTCCAACATATAGGAGTACGCCATCTACGTCCATACAGAGCCTCGTACGGTGCCATGCGAATACTTGTCTGGTAACTATTATTGTAAGCAAACTCAGCTAATGGCAAGAAATCTTCCCAACTACCACGAAAATCAATCACACAACCCCGTAACATATCCTCCAACACCTGAATTACTCGCTCAGACTGTCCATCAGTCTGAGGATGAAAAGATTTACTGAAATTCAAACGAGTACCCAAAGCCTCGTGCAAAGCCTTCCAGAACCTGTAAGTGAACCTCGGATCTCGATCAGATATGATAGAGAACGGAACACCATGAAGTCTAACGATCTCAGAAATGTATAACTTAGCCAGTTTGTCCAAAGAATAATTAATCCGGATAGGAATAAAGTGCGCTGACTTGGTGAGTCGATCAACAATCACCCAAATAGAATCCTTCTTAGAAGGAGTCAGAGGAATACCAGTAACGAAGTCCATTGTAATGCACTCCCATTTCCACTCAGGAATCTTAATTGATTGCAACAATCCAGATGGATGTTGGTGTTCTGCCTTAACCTGCTGACAAGTCA